TGGGAGCGAGGCGACAAGACCAACCACGGCCTGCCCGAGCTCAATGCCAGCTCCATTGGTAAGCTTTCGAAATGGAAAGATGTTTTTTTTTCTAACTCTTTTCCTTTTCCCTCCACAGGAATGGCCAAAGCCGCACTCGAGGCGATGAACGAGCTGGACCTCTTTGGCGGCCGCGGCGGCCTTCCCTCCGTCATCCACGTCCTCGCCGACGAGGCGCAAAAGTGTCACGCCGTCCTCGAGTCGCTCCTCCCGCGAGAGTCCAATTCGAAGGAGGTCGATGCCTCCCTTCTCTCCATCATCAGCTTCCCCGCCTTTGCCGTGGAGAGCCGCGAGCTGATCAAGGTGACCCGGGATGAGATCAAGACCAAACTGCAGGGCCGCTACGGCTGCAAGCGCTTCCTGAGGGACGGCTACAAAACGGCCCGGGAGGACCCCCGCCGCCTCTACTACGAGCCGAGCGAGCTGAAGGCCTTCGAGAACATCGAGTGCGAGTGGCCGCTCTTCTACTGCTACCTCATACTGGATGGGCTCTTCTACGGCGACGACGAGGCGGTGGAGGAGTACGCGGAGAAGCTCGATGCGCTGCTGATCAAGACGGAGGACGGGCTGCGCCTGGTGCCGGAGATGTACGCAGTGCCGGGCCACCTGGTGGAGAGCGAGTATCGGCGGCCGCACTCGCAGGAGCGCATTCCAATCGGCTCGCTTCCGTTTATGTGGGCGCAGTCGCTGTACACGGTGGGGCGGCTGCTGAAGGAGGGGTTCATTGCGCCCGGGGAGTTGGATCCGCTCAATCGGCGACTGTGCACTGAGAAGAAGCCTGATGTGGTGGTTCAAGGTAAGTGTTTAGCTTTTTGGAATATTTCTGACCTTTTTCCCTTTTCAGTGGTCATCCTCGCCGAGGACGAGAAGGTGAAGGAGCGCATGGCGCAGCACGACCTGGCGGTGCAGACCATCGAGGAGGCCTCGCCGCTTGAGGTGCAGCCCGCCCGCCTCCTCTCCAACCTCTACACCTACCTGGGGCAGAATGAGAAGCTGTCGCTGTCGGGACGCATTTCGAAGGAGGTGGGCATCCTCGCCACCAGCAAGCTCTACTCGCTGCAGGGCCGCATCTTTGCCTTTACGCCGCAGGTAAGTGCACTTGCTAGCTTTTTGCTGGGTTTGTGGATGTTTGTGGAGGATTTTTGTTAATTTTTTGAGCCACTTCAAAGAACCTCGACCGGTTGAACTTCTACATTGTCAACGATGTGAACCTGATGGCGAGCAACTTTCGCAGCGCCGTACACATGCTCAAGAGCAACTGGCGCGAGCTGGGCCGGCCGACGCTGACGCTGATCATGTACCGGCAGTTTTTGGGTAAGCGCTTTTTTCTTTTAAGATTGACAGACTGTTTTAATGCTCTCAATTCCCTCCTCTTTTCAGAGAACGACAAAGTGCCGCTGTCGATCATCTCGACGCTGAAGAAGATCAAGAGCGGCTACCTGCACGGCACGCGAGTGGTCTTCGGCAACCTGGAGGACTTTCTCTCCACCTCCTGCATCTCCAATCTCACCTTTCTGGCGAACATTGAGGATGGCGACAATGAGAACCTCAATCCAGCGGTTCGGCTCTTTCTCGAGCACGAGCTTAGTCGGCCGTTTTTTGTTCGTCGGGTAAGTGGTGGCTTTGTGTGGCTTTTGTCGGTGTGAAATATGACACCTTTGTTGTTACATTGCCCTTTTCTTATTTTTTGCAGCTCACTCGCCAGCAGTCGGTCTCGGCGAAGCGGAAGATCAGCATTCGCTC